GCGCCCGCCGCAGCCCGCCCTATTCACCTGGGTTTCGCGCCACGGGCCACGAGAGCCCTGGAAGAGCCCAGCTGGCATGTTCTATCGCCCGGGTGTCGGGCTGTCTGGTCCTCCCCCCGCGCTGCTCGAAGAGGCAAGTACGAACTCAAGTAGACCAAGTAGGAGAGCGAGAGCCGAGACGGACCTCCGGGGACCCGCAATCCCGCACCACACGCACACCACCCCACACTCACACACGAGAGAGGGACTGAGACAACTACACCCTTGCAGGTCATTCATACGCCGTCAGATTCCTCAAATTCCCATGTAAATAGCGCATACAACACGACAGCATACCCTCCACTAAGACACTACGATAAAGTCGAGAGGGATGCGCACTCTGCGCTGCCCACTGGAGGCCCCAGGGGAAGCAGAAGGTAGCGAGCCCTCCCCGCAGATGGATGCGAGTGCGCCCAGTCGATGCCCGGCTCCGCAGCGCCCCCGCTCGGCACCGCCATCACGAGATGGCGGGCGGCGGGGGGCAGCGGCTTGAGTCCTCCCCGCAGATGGATGCGAGTGCGCCCAGTCGATGCCCGGCTCCGCAGCGCCCCCGCTCGGCACCGCCATCGAGAGAGATGGCGGGCGGCGGGGGGGAGCGGCTCGCGCGGGGAAGCGGCAGCGGGCGCCTACACGCCATGGTGCCGCACGAGGCCCGCCAGCAGGGCGAAGAGAAAGCGGCCGACGTTCTCGCAGTCGCCGGGCGCGTCGTGCGTGTAGTGCCGCCCGAAGAGCCACGAGATGAAGGGCGCGGCCCAACTCCACTTGACCTTGGTGTTGCGGTAGGAGCCGTTGCCCTCAGCGCCAAAGGCGTAGCGGAGGATGTGCAGCACGTCGACGCAGGTCACCCCGGCCTGCTTGCAGACGATTGGTTCGCCGTAGTGCAGGATTGTGTTGCCCGCCTTGACGGCCGCCTGTGACGCAGAGGGGGGTGACGGGTGGGTGGGGGTGGGGGGGTCAGGGGGAGGGGGGGCAAGGGGGGCGTGTGTGGTAGCATCTGCGAGGAGGGGTGGGGTGGCTAGCCTTGAGTGCGTTGATGAAGCTCGCGTGCTCGCGCCTTGTGATGCCGTTGTTCCAGGGGTGCCGCGTCGCTCGAGTTGACTGGTGCCCGCTGCTGCGGCGTGTCGACCCAGGTGTCCCCCGGCGCGAGGTGGATATCGGCGGTCGCCCGCCTGAGTAGCAGGCAAATTGGCCCGCCTGAGTAGCAGTGGCCCCCCTCCGGGGTGCCGCGTCCGCCCTTGTGCAACGTCTTCTTGATGCTGATGTCGCCACTTGTGGTTGGTCAACTTGTGTCGCTGGTGACCTCGACAATTGCCACCTGACCATCACACCCACATCCTTGGTAATGTAGAGCAGGATGAGGGATAGAATCTCGGCTCAATCTCGGCTCAATCTCGGACAAATCTCGGACAAATCTCGATCGAATCTCAAGAATCCCTCAGGTCGTGGGCGCGTGCCTCCTTCAGCTTGTGCGCTGCGGCAGCCTCTTCCGTCGCCTTGCTGCGCTTGTCCTCAATGTCAGTGAGCAACAGGGTCATCGTCGTCCTCTCGCCCTTGAGCAGCTCCGACACCATCGGCAGCAGGGCCGACAGCGCGTCCTTGGCCTTTTCGAGCGCGGGCGTGAGCTCCTCGTCGTCGGGGTTGATGTCGCGCACCTCGTCCTTGAGGTGGTTGATGATGGCGTCAGCGGCCTCCTCTGGGCTCGCGGAGCCTGCGCGCGCGCGCGGGGGGGGGGGGGGGGAAGGGGGTAAGCCGCAAAAGGAGGGAAAGGGGGAAGGGGGGGAAAACGGTCCCCTCGGCCACCAAAATGATGTCCTCCTCCACCTTGGGGCGGCAGTCGTGCAGCCAGGGGCACATTTCTCTTGGGAGGGGGACCATCTGCTCCTTCTTCTTCTGCGCCGCGTCGAGCTGCTGCTGCTGCCGCATGCTGGCGACCTCCCGGGGCGAGTTGCCTCCCCCAGGCCCGTAGCCTGGCGAGCCAAAGATTGGGGACGAGTGAGGCGACGAGCGGGCCGAGCTGTGGCCGCGCTGCTTCTCCGCCCTCGAGTCCCACTTGCGGAAAAAGTAGGTTCTGCACGAGGCTGTCCACCGACGAATCGTGCAGCATCGCGTTCTTGGTCGGCTCCACGGCGAAGTTGCCGTCAACGTAAAGGATCCTCGGTAGAGGGTCCCGGTGAAGCGCTGCCACACGGCCTCCGGCAGGTCCTTCGGGAAGCCGCGCCCGAGCAACTCCTTCGCGCCCGCGTGCTCGGTGAACTGGAACGTCTCGTGCGCCCCTCGGAGAGCAGCCGCCCGTTCCACCGAACCTCGAAGCAGCCGGGCTCGACGACCGGCGGCATCGACTTGTCGCCGTTGATCGACGGGAAGTACTCGTACGAGGACGAGCCGCCACGAGCCCCGCTTGCCGCCCGCCTCGCAGGTGCCCGAGAAGACCTTGGTCATCGACGGGCACGAGGGGTCGGCGGAGCGCGTCGCAGCGCTGCGTGGCCGCCTGCCGCCTGCGGGAACAACTTATCGAGGTGCTGGTCGCGGATTTGGCGCGCGAGGAGGATCTCCGAGCAGCGCAGGTTGTCGACATCGCCGTTGCCAAAGATCTCGTCGTTGAGCGTGATGCACCTCTCGCCGAGCTCGATGCTCATCCGAATTGGCTGCCGGGGAAAGCCCTCCATCTCCGGCAGAGCGCGCGCCGCCGAGCTGGGGTCGGTCGTCACGAGGCACACGAGGCAGGGGAGGTACTTGTCACACACCTTGTCGGCGAGGCCGCCCTGCTGCGTGAGCATCGCCTCCACCTCGCGCAGGGTGTTGCCCTTGACGTTGCGCACCTCGAAGCACGTCGCCTTGTCGCCCCACCCCTCGCGGCCCAACAGCGCGCGCACCTGCGCGTCCGGCTGCCACGACGTGACGGGCTGCTTCCACTCGCCCTTGCGGTCGCCCTCCTCAGCCGCCGCCATCATCTGCGAGGGTGTGCGCGCAGGAAATTGGTGGCGGCTGGGAGGGTGCTGGGAAGGGTGGCGGTGGAGAGGAGTGAGGAGGCGTGGCGCGGGCGCGGCAATGGTGGGGCGGCCACCTTCGCGATCGGCATCGTCAGCTTGGGCCTTCGTCCCACTGCCACGGGGGCCGCCCTCCACCCTCGCCATTGAGAGCTCGCCGCCCTCTCCCAGCAGCGCCTTTACGCCGAACCGCGAGTAGCGCACGGGGAAGAAGCCGGAGGCCGAGCCGCCGTGGTTCTGGTGGTCCGAGGTCCCAAGCTGCCCCCACATCACCAGCTCATCGTGCGTCAAGCTGCGCCCGTTGTCCACGACCCGCAGAATGTTGCACGAGAGGTCGATGAGCAGGACGACTTGAAGAATATACGATGCAGGGGCCCCGCTCGCGATACTCCGGAGGTACACCGACTCGAGCGCGTTGTCGAGCAGCTCGTACACTGCCGTCTCCTGCGAGAAGATGCCCTGGGTCTCGGTTGTGAGCAATATCTTGGCCGACGGGAAGTTGAAGAGGTCCGACTGCTGCTGCGAGCCGGTGGAGGCCTCGCCACGGTGCCCCGCGCCGCCGCGGCGCCGCACCGCCCGGATGTGATTGCACATGGCGTGGAGCGCCGGGTCGTATGGCACCTTCCCATCGAGCAGCTCCAGTGCGATCACGTGAACGGGGACGCCGATCTTTTGCGACACCGTGCACAGGATGTCCTGGCCCGAATGAACGAGCACCTCGGTCGGCTCGCCCGCGTCGCAGAAGTGCACGTGCAGGCGGCGCGGCGCAGACATCGGCGCCATGGCGACGCGGCGACGATCGAGGCGGCGGCACGCGCTGCAACACGGGGTGCAACTCGTGATATGAGCCTCCCGCAGTCCCAGAGCCGGCTGAGGGCCAAAAGTAAAACGCTCAACGCCGCTCTCGGCTCTCAGAGAGGCGTTATATCTCAGTAACCCCGCTCGCAGGTACTAGAGCAGCGTTCGTCAAGCTCAAACCCCACTCTACACAACACAGAGCAGCGTTTGCCTAACAAGACTCCGCTCTGCAACCTTCAGAGCGGACTCTTGCTCAGAAAAACACCGACCGAGCACGTTCGAGCGGAGTCAAGTCAGTGCAACACCGCTCAACATAGCGGAAGCGGTCAATTTCCGCGGAGAGGCTGCTTTCGCCTCCCTCAGTCGCGCTCTCCTCCGCCCCTCCTCTTCAGAGCGGGACTTTGCTGAGTGAACACCGCTCTAGCTGGTCATAGCAGCGATTGCTTTAAGCTGACACCGCTCTAAATGGCGTGAGCGGCGTCGCCCTGAATAGACGCTGCTCTGGGACGCCGGGACGGCGATGCCACTTGACGCCGACGGCGGATCCACGATCGCTCGTGGCGCGCGGCGCGGCGTGGCGAGCCCCGCCCCTGGGGTTGAGCGCGTGTGGGTGGGTCGTCACTGCTCCGAGTAGTCAGAGCGGCGTCGCGTTTAGTGATACGCCGCTCACGCCATTTAGAGCGGTGTCAGCTTAAAGCAATCGCTGCTCTTACTAGCTAGAGCGGTGTTCACTCAGCAAAGTCCCGCTCTGAAGAGGAGGAGCGAAGGAGAGCGCGACTGAGGGAGGCGAAAGCAGCCTCTCCGCGGAAATTGACCGCTCCCGCTATGTTGAGCGGTGTTGCACTGACTTGACTCCGCTCGAACGTGTTTGGTCGGTGTTTTTCTGAGCAAGAGTCCGCTCTGAAGGTTGCAGAGCGGAGTCTTGTTAGGCAAACACTGCTCTGTGTTGTGTAGAGTGGGGTTTGAGCTTGACGAACGCTGCTCTAGTACCTGCGAGCGGGGTTACTGAGATATAACGCCTCTCTGAGAGCCGAGAGCGGCGTTGCGCGTTTTACTTTTGGCCCTCAGCCCCCAGGGGAGCCAAGTCTTGGACAGGTCCGAGTTTCGTAGAGATAATCGCCGACGGCGGACGCAAAAAGCTCTGTGTTGCAGGTCACAAAAAAAGATAAACGGCTATCATAACGCCGTCCCGCGCAGCATCCCCGCGAGCTGCGCGTCCAGCCCTGCCGCCGTCAGCGGGTGCGTCACGAGGTGCGGGCCGAAGCCCGCCTCGTCGGCGCCAAAGACGACGCTCCCGTCGGCGCGCGCGCGGTACGAGGCCGCAATCTCGTGCAGCGGCGGCAGCGGCGTCGTCCGCACGGCGCCGCCGCCCGGCGGGGGCGGCGGCTCGGCTGCGGCCCCGCTCTCGCGCCACGCCTCGTCGCAGAGTGCGGCTGCGCGGCGGGCGATGCCGAGCGCCCCGGTGAGGCCGGTGGAGCGGATGGCGCCCACGGTGACCCAGCTCGACCCCTCGGCGCGCCCGATCTGGTAGTCGGCGGAGAGGTCGCATCCCGGCCGGAGGCCAGAGTAGGATCCCGCCACACCAGCCTCGCGGAGCTGCGGCACGGCGGCGCACGCCGCGTCGAGCAGCGCCGCACGCACCTCTGGCCGCGCCTCCTCCCGCGGCGGCATCTCTACCTCCCTCACGGGCTCCGCGGTCGGGCCGCACGCCACAACGCCGAGCGCCGACCGCCAGACATACACACCTAACCTCGCGTCATCTCGCGTCACCTCGCGTCATCTCGCGTCGTCGCGGTCTCGGAGCGCCAGGACGTGACGCACCGCGCGAGACGTCGCCCGGCGGCTGACCGACGGGCGTGGCGCCGACGAGCGCACGGGCCGACCCGTCAAAGAGCAAAAAGTCGCCTCGCCGCGGCTTAATCGCGAAGGGCGGCCGCCGGTGCAGCGCCTCGAGCGCGTCGCCGAGCAGCCCGCCGCAAGCCACAACGACGGACGCCTCCACAACCTCTGGCCCCTCGGCCTCCGCCTCCGCCGGAGAGAGGGTCAGCCGCCAGCGACCTCCCTCCCACGCCGCGGCCGCCACCTCTCTGCCGCGCTGTATCGTGGCGCCGTTCTCGTGCGCGTGCCGGGCGTACGCGATCGGCGCCAGCCAAGGGTCCACCGTCACCTCGCCCGCCACGAGCAGTGCGCCGAGCACCGACGGCGCGAGCGCAGGCTCGCGCGCGCGCGCCTCGGCCGCCGTCAGCAGCGCGGCGTCCGGGTCGCCGCGCGCTCGCCGCATCTCCAGCTCCGCCTCGAGCCGGCTCAGGCCGTCGGCGTCAAACGCGGCGTACATCGAGCCCGTCGGGCGGTGCGGCACGTTGAGCTCCGTCCACGCGGGGAGATTGAGGCGCGCGCCCTCGGAGAGGCAGGCGTGCTCCACCGTGCCGGTAGCGACGTCCGACGCGGTGCACGCGATGCCCGTGTTGCCGGCCGATGCGCCGGCGACGAGGTGCGGCTGCCGCTCCACGAGCAGGCAGCGCCAGCCGCGGCGGACAGTCAGCTCGCGCAGCACGGCGCAGCCGACGACGCCGCCACCAACGACGACTGCGTCCCAAGTGCGTCTCACCATAATGTACATGACGGAAAAAGAATTTTTGACGCCACCCCTTGTTTTGTTTTTCTGTTCTTTCTTCTCTCACAGGGCTGGCGCGCACGAGTGCCCAGTGTCGTGCGGAAAAAGAAATTAATGACGCCTATAACGCGCGAGGCGCCGAGGCCGGAATCCTGGTGCTCCCAAGACCCAAGAGCAAGTGATGCTCCAAGCCCTCCAAGCCTCCCAGAAGATCTTTGGGAAGATCGCAGAGGTCCGCGACCGGAAGAATGCGTGTACACTCTGGGGTACAGGCTCTCGTCACTCCAGCGACGGCTTCAGGCCGACGCACGCCACGGTCGGCGGCTCGCACGCGCCGCTGGCGAAAGCCTGCGCGCTGAAGCCCTCCGGGTAGTCGACGACGGAGATAGAGGCGGTCGGGATGTCCACCCTCATCGGGTTGGGCTCGCCCAGCGCCTCGCCCACCATCGCGCGCGTGACCCACATGTGCGACACGATGACGCCGGCGCCGCCGGGCGGCAGCGCGCGCAGCATCGCGTCCCGCTGCTCGAGCACGCGGGAGCGCACGTCGCAGAAGCCCTCGCCGCCGTTGACGGCGTTGAAGGCGCCCGGCGTGCTCTCGAGCGCAAACCGCTGCATTGCGTCCGGGCCGTCTCGCGCCTCGATCTCCTCGGCGGTGAGATCGGTCCAGCCCGCGCCGATCGGACCACGGTCCACCTCGCGGAAGGCCTCGAAGGTGTCGATCTCCATCGGCGGCTGCCAAACCCCACCCTCACTCGCGGCGACGGCGAGGGCGGTGCCGACGGCGCGTGCCCCGAATAGCGCCCGCCGCATCGGCGAGGACCAGATGATCTTGACCTCGTCGAGGTGGTTGGACGCGATGTGCTTGGCGGCCGCCAGCGCCTCCGCCTCGCCGACTGTGGAGAGCGGCACGTCGACATTGCCGCCGTAGAAGCCGCCCGGCTTGATGGCGGGCACAGCCTTCTCGCGGTTGACGGCGCCGTGCCGCACGAGGACGAGGCGCCGGGCGGTGGGCGAGATGCTGACGCCGGCCGCGGCGAGGGTGCAGAGGCAGGCCACCATTTTTGCCCGAGGTCTTCGGATTTCTTTTTCCGAAGGTCTAATAAATAATAACAAAAAAGAAAAAGAACAGATCGTTGATGTCTAACAATGGGTGTGGTACACGCCTGGAGTGCACCACTTGCACCCAGATCGCTCGCCATACGCCATCCTCCAGACCCACCCTCTGTGCGTCCTCGACAAGCTTGGTTCCGCTCCCCGAGCCCGCCACCGCACACAGTAGCTCGTGACGCACGTTCTCGCCATCGTCCGGCAGCCGCAAACCGACTGGATTTTTCCGTCCCCGAACAATCGTTCGTGTAGTGGCGCCAATGGCCGCCTCCCGTCGCGCCATTGGCACCCTAGCCAGCAGCAGCACCGGAGGCAACACCACCAAGCCCACAAGTCACAAGAGTGACGGAGATGCTTGCCACGAGCACCGTGACACCCGACCCTGTGAGCACTGTGGGCGTATACGGCTGCATACGGTGAGATGATGCACAGCATGGCCAGACGAGGGATGCAAGGCTCGCCAGCTGTATGTTAGTGAGGTATATGGATGTGATCAACATGTGCATCACAGGTACGCGCAGCAGCGCATGTAGCCGCTGAGATCGAAGACAGCGCAAACAGGTCTTTTTGCGCCACGCACCCGATGGCCGTGCTGGTCCAACTGCGTGCACAGAATTGCTGTCAGCGCGTCTTCGCCACAGCTGGACATGGCAATGAAGCAGCTGAGACGTGATAACACCAGCGCTGGGCCAAGGAGGTGGCCGCTCACCGCCGATTGTTAGGACGGTCGTCGAAGGCGAGCGGCCGTCGCCGGGCAGCAGCTCGTGGCGATCGTCGATCCGCGAGCTGCCAAGCTTGTCACAGGCCGGCACTGGGTCGAGGACGATGGCGCCGCGCGGCTGGAGGCAACGGAGAAAGGCATTGTGGAGCGGCGCGGCGAGAAAAATCGTTCAAGGAAAATCATGGGAAGAAAACTCCGCCTTCTTTTTTTTTGCTTGGGGCCTCATGATGAAATTCTGAAAAAACCTGGCCGGCCCCTGCGGTGCCCCTACCTACCTACCTACCTACCTACCCTACTTATGGGAAACTAAAAAAAAATCATGACTGGGGTACTATACCAACTAAGTGATGGCTGGTGGTACTCTCCTGCAACCATAGTCCTTCCTGTGACATGGCAGGCCACTCTCAAGCCCTACAAGCACCAGATCACCTCACTTGGGGAGGGTTGACTCTTGACATCGTGATTTCCGCGGAAAATTTCTTTTTCTGCTGTGAAAATTTCCGGCGTGAAGAGAGGGAAAACCCAGACGGGAGGGCCCAGACCCCGTCTGAACCACACGTGTCCCTCCTTCTTCCTCCCTGGTCTAGACGTCTAGTGCCCGTCTTCTCCGCCCGTCGTGGCTGCGGAGTTGGTCGCACCCTCGTGCATCTTCGTCCTTTAGACGTTTCACCTAGAGCAAGCAGGGCGGCACGCCCCCAAGCCACTCGCCAGCCGGGTGGGGCTTGCACGTGGCAGCGACTCGACTGGTCGCGTCAGCCCTTTGTGGAGCCCGACACGCTATCCCTCCCAGGCCATGCCTGACACGCCCGCACCTTAACCTTGGTGCATTCCGAAATTCGGGATCTCCTGCAAGGCGCTCAACAGAGTGCCAATGCACTACAGACCGAGTGCAAGTTCGTTCTGGCCGCCTCCCTCCCTGAACTCGCGGCGAACCTCGCCACGTTCCTCGAGTGGAGCCGACTGCAAGACGAAGACGGCTCGGCTACTTCTTCCTCACGAATTTCGCCGTCTACATTGATAACATCTCGCCCACCGTTTGCAGCGCCAGCGCCGACGCGGTGCGCTGCGCGCGCCACGAGCTGGAACTGCTCGAGCTGCGCAACCTTTCCGACTTGCTCGAGTTCGTCGCCGACGACACGCGGAAGCCGACTGCCGACGACTTCGCGCAAATCCGTCAATGAAAAACAGGCTGCTATCGTTGCGGGGATTGTCGTCGCCCCGCGCGTCATCAAGCGGGTCGATACCATCTACGCCGAGACGATCCTCAAGACCTTCTTCGCCGACGACGCTCTGCGGACCATCTACCGCGAGAAAGCCGCCAGGATCCGGGGTGCTAGCGGCACTTCCATTGCCCGCTTAGCTGCTATCCGTTCCTCGATCGCTAATGTCCGGCCGAAGCTCCAGAGGCTGATCCTCGAGACCGTCGCCGTCAAGCCCCTTCTTGCCACCGCTTTTGGCGCTCAGGCTGGGCGGATCCACTCCGACTTCAGGCGGCGTGTCCGCCGCGTTACCCGCGTCAACGACTGGACGAGCGACTGAATCCCACACAGCTCACTGCGCTCCTCACCAAGTTCCTCGCCGAGCATACCAACGAGTCCTTCCGCTCCGACGTCGACATCGCGCTAACATCCAGGTCACCAGGCGCCACGACGGCTTCGTCCACGTCTCGCAGGAGCAGTACGCCCGCCGATTCGTTGAGCAGTTCCGCGAGAAGCTCATCGGTCGCCTACGCGGACCACCGCCCGTCCGACACGCCAACATGCCGCCGTACACGCCCCAGATTGCCAAAGGGGTCATTGCCGCATGTGACGACGCCACCGAGCGTGACCCTGCCGACGTCCACCTCAGCCAGTGCTTTTGCGGCGTCGCGAGCTACCTCGTCACCAACACGCGCTGCGACGGGGCGCTCGCCTTCGGCCTTCTCTGGCGGTGCATGGCCAAGCCCACCGACGACGTCTTTGAGGAGATGTTCTGTTTCCTCGAGTACTTCCGCCACCATCCCCACATCGGCCTAACCTACGAGCCGAGCCGGGACGGCGAGCATGAGAACGACGACCTCGTCGCCATGAGCGACGCTAGTTGGGAGACGCGTAGGTCCACGTCCGGGTGGATCGTCCTCATGTGGCAGGCCATCGTTCACTGGCGCAGCGTCCAGCAGCCCTCCATCGCGCTCTCGTCCTGCCAGTCCGAGATCATGGCTGCCTCCGAGGCGACCAAAGACGTGCTGAGCTACCGTCGCCTAAATAAAGGCCGAGCTCGAGTCGTACGTCAAGGACGGCGAGGTCATCAGCCCCCCCGAGGCCCCGCCCACCAAGCAGTACTGCGACAACCAGGCCGCTATCGCCTCCGCCTACAACCCCGAGAACCACGGCAAGCTCAAACACGTCGAGCGGCGCCACTTCTTCATCCGCGAAGCGATCGAGGAGGCCACAAGATTTGCGTTCCCTTCGTCCGCAGCGACGAGAATCTCGCGGACTACTTCACGAAGCCGCTCAAGCCCCAGCGCTTCTTCGAGCTGCGAGACAAGATCATGAATGTCAAGGAGCCTCCTTCCCCAACCCCATCAGACGGGAAGCAAGTCTCCTTCTCGCCAAGCCATGAGCGCTCGCCACGCGCCCGCGTCGCGCGCCTCCCGAGAGCCACGGACTCTCCTCATGCATGTTCCATGCTCCATCAAGAGGGACACCTTCCTCCCTTTTCCATGTTAGTGACTCGACTACGTCGAGGGGGGGGACGTCTGTCTGAACCACATGTGTCCCTCCATTCACACTCTCCCAGTCCTCCCTCGCGTGGTCTAGTGCCCGTCTTCTCCGCCCGTCGTGCGGAGTTGGTCGCACCCTCGTGCATCTTCGTCCTTTAGACGTTTCACCTAGAGCAAGCAGGGCGGCACGCCCCCAAGCCACTCGCCAGCCCAGAAAGAGAAATAACCTCCGAGTTGCTGTCTGGCTGCCTCGCGTCGCTGCGTCTGCTGCGGGCGCGCTTGGCCGCTGGCCACGGATGGCGCGGCTGTTTCCTCTCTTCTGCTGCCTCGCGGCGTTCGCCGCTCCGGCGGCGGCGCTGCGGCTTGGCGCGCCCCTCATGCGCACCTGCGACGCCAGCCGCCGCAAGGCCGCCGGGCGACACCTGAGGCAGCTGGCCGAGCTGCAGGCGCTGCCCGCCGCAGAGGCGTGCGAGGCGGCGCAGGCGACGCTGGCCAACATGAGGGCAGAGGGGCTGCCTCTCAACGTCGACGCAGTGAGCCGCGCCATCTCGCTCTGCGGCTGCGAGCTTCCCGTCGCCGAGTCGCTCTTTGAGTCGCTCGTGGCGGCCGGCAACGACTCGGAGGGCGCGTACTCGTGCCTTCTGCGCGCGCAGCTGGGGAGCGGCGACCTGGACCGCGCCCTGGTCACCTTCCGCCGGATGCTCCAGCGCGGCATCGCGCCGCGAGGTCGCAACGCCTCTCCGGTGTTGCACGCGCTGTGCGCGGCGGGCCGGCAGGTCGACGCAATGCGCTTTAGCGGGCGGCTGGTGAGGCACGGGCTGGTGCTCTCGCAGGCCAGCGAAGCCGCGCACGCACCGCGCTCCCCCCCTTGCCTCTCCTCCCCTCACCCCGCCCCGCTCTCTCCCCCCAGGAGGACCACGCCGCGCTGCTGCTGCTGCACGGCAGCCGCGCCTCGCCGCGGCAGCTCCGCCGCCAGCTGGACAGACTTCTGCGCGAGCACTCGACGCCGGGCGCAGAGACCGCCGCCGCAATCGAGGCGGCGGTCGTCGCAGTCGGCGGCTCCGCGGCTGCCACCCGCGTCGCTGTCGGCCACGACGGGAGGTGCCCTTGCTGCGGAGGCGGTCTGCAGCTGCTCACACTCCCCGAGGAGCAGCGCGAGCAGGTGCACAGCCAACCTCCAGCCCCGCTGCCTCCTAGCTGCCGCCTCGCTGCCGCCTCGCTGCCGCCTCGCTGCCGCCTCGCTGCCGCCTCGCTGCCGCCTCGCTGCCGCCTCGCTGCCGCCTCGCTGCCGCCTCGCTGCCGCCTCGCTCACGCTTCGCTCCCGCCCAGTTCCCGCCCAGCTCCCGCCCAGATCGCGTCTCGCTGCCGTCTCGCTCCTGCCCCTCCCGCCCCGCCCCACCCGCCCCGCCCGCCCCGCCCGCCGCAGGTTCGGTCGGTGCTCCTCTCGCGCGCCCACCAGCGGCTCGGCTCGCGCGGCTCCGACCGGCTGCGCCGCTTCAGCCGGTGGCTCGAGGGGCAGCCCGCTTTCGACTTCGTCGTCGACGGGCCGAACGTCGGCTACGCCAACCAAAACTTCGAGGGCGGCCGCTTCAGCTTTGCGCAGGCGCCGGCCGCCCAGTTGGGGAGGAGGGGGGAGGGGAGGGGAGGGGGGGAGGAGATCGCTTCGGTCGAGGCGCAGCTCTGGCCGTCCGGCAGGCCCCGTCCCGCAGGCCTGTGGTTGTGTGACCGCTTGCCCCCCCCCCCCCCC